CTGAACTCAAAGTGACTGCATGACATGAGCGCACTCAGCAGTAAAAAGTAAAATTGATAGAGCGCTCATAATTTAAATGATCATAATCGCATTTTAGAGTTATGATTACGACTAGCATTTGATATTTTTTTTCTTTCATGGCAAACAGAAAGTGAATGTTTACTGGGTCAGTAAATGTTTACTGGGTCAGTGGAACTACTCTAGCCTATATAATGCAAAAGGGAATCTGATAATAACAAATGTTTCATTTTACCAGTGAAAAAATGGTCTAGTAATGTTGTAAAGTGCTTTATATTTGTCTAGTAAGTCTTAATGGCTGTTGGACACAAATATTTAAAAATCTAATTGAGCAATCCCATGCCAATGTCAACCTTGCCATGAAAAAACTAAGCTTCAACCAAAACAGCGAAACCGTTTCTACATTTTTGGTGTAAGCAAGTATTTTACAGTTCTTAAAAACTACTCAAAAATGTCTCCATCAATGTTTCATTTCATTCATTTTTTTTTTCAAACATTCAGTCATTGTTGTTTTTTGATAGTGGGTTATAATCGTGCCAAAAAATGAAAAATGTTCTAATAATGTTGTAAATGACAGATTACAAGCACATTTCTCAAACATAATTATTCAATTTTTAAAATTATAAGTAGTTGTATTCCGATATAATGATTACTGTGAATTAACAACCAGGACATATTTAAAGTCTGTTCAAGTCCACCGTTCCAAGTCTATACAAAATTTTGCAATTTAACCAACAGTAGACCTACACATAGGCCTAATATTATTATCAACATTGTTGTTTTACTATATCGTCACCTTGAAATTATAAGGTTGTATCTGCGTTCTGAATGATTTTGAGATATCGAGCTTCAAAGTCTTTGCATTCCATAGCAAACCGTATGTGTGTAACATTTATTTATTATAAATATATTTATTTATTTATTATGTGTCAAAATACTCCATGCAAAATAACTTTTGACAAAAATGTCAGATAGAACCTTATAATTCTAAGGTGACGATATGTTTAAGAAATAACAATAATAATAGCCTACTCACATTAACCTTTATTTTACATCTACAGAATCGCGAGAAAATTGAGATCTTGATTTTAAGAAAAAAAATTGTGATTCTGATTTTAGCCAGAATCGTGCAGCCCTCATACCAAGTAGTATTGCGATACTGTACTGTAATTCATAACTTCAATTGAATTCAAAATTCCCTTATTGAAAAAAAATATTTGCACATCACTTCACCTAAAATGCAGTAGTTCTTTTTGTTTATTTTATAGATATCTAACCAACAAAAATTCATTAAAATAAAGAAACAAATTATACCGAACGAAATTCGTTACAAAAAGAGCTTTTTTCTATTGTTTTTTTTTTTTAGCCTTATCAGGTAAGAATCCAAAGTAATTCAGAATTTCACTTTGTGAGTGGTTCTTTTAAGAGATTGTTGCGGTTGTTGTAGCTAATAAATCATATTGACAGGAACAGAAATTAACTTTAGATGTGCGTTTGAACCGAAGCATCAGAAAACATGCAACAGGCTAAAGGTGTGAATTCTACACAGTTTTGCAACCTTAAAGGGCTCCACAGACTATTAAAATAAAATAGTGTATTGTTGCACAAAAGTGTGAGCATTTTAGTGACTTTTCCACATGCAACATTAGGTATCATAGATAGACCTTAATGACGATACTATCATTCACAATCTACAGTAGCAAAGCTAATATTTTGGAGCCGTAGTATAGCGATACTACCATAGGACCGGAAAACTGTGCTACCCGATAAGCTTGCATACATTTTTGGTCACATCCATAACTCATCTTTATATAATATTCCTTATTTAAAATCTAAAAAATGTTTACAGATTGATATTTTCTGATCCCATAACACTGTGGTTTGTTGTTTTGGAAGACATAAACAGATGTTTTAATATGATGTTAACATACTTTTTCTGTGTATTTATGTGTTAAGTGTTTACTGCATTTGTCACATCCATACTGCTGGAATTGCTCAAATGTTAAACTTGAGCACATATCTCATCCATTGTCATCTGTGCTTTAGAATTGAATCATGTTGAGGTGTGGTGTGTTTTGGAGAAAGAACTATTGATAGAGGCACCTGAGAAATACTGGATTTAATTATTATTTGTTTTTACTTTGACCAATCATCTTATTAACCACCACCTTCAGTGTGTAAACAGCAATCCATTATCGCAATACAACAGAAAGCAGGTCAGGTTCTTTATGTAAGGTTTTATTCATTTTTTGCACGTGGGAACTGATTTTTAATGATAAATTCTTAAAAATTCAAACAAATCTGCTGTGAGTTGTGAGGCTGGTAATTTCGATTGATGTCTAAGTGATTTCTGCCATAACTGATATTTAGTCCTCTCATTTTGTTAAAGGTTGATACTTACTTTCGGATAATGTCACTTTTTTCGTGCATTTAATATGAGGGATGATTAGGCCTGTCACAATAAAAAAGTTTTGTGTGCGATGTATCACAACAGATTTTTTTGTGATAAGGGACTAGGGCTGCACATTAATGGAAATACTTGACATTGCATTACCTTTTGTTTTTCAGTGACATACTGTACATTGCGATATGAAATATATTTCACCAGTTGGAATAACGGTTTACGGTTATTACGGTTATTAATAACGGTTTTTGAGAAGAATTCCCTATTTCAGGATGTTTTGGGCGATTTGTATAGGGGAGTGCATCTGCTTCGTTTATTAAAATGAACTTTAAAATAGATTTTTAGGGAGGGATGGGGGGCACACAAATAAGAGAAAAAAGAGCTTTATATTTGTCTGGTAAGTCTTAATGGCTGTTGGACACAAATATTTAAAAATCTAATAGAGCAATCCCATGCAAATGTCAACCTTGCCATGAAAAACTAAGCTTCAACCAAAACAGCGAAACCGTTTCTACATTTTTGGTGTAAGCAAGTATTTTACAGTACTTAAAAACTACTCAATACTGTCTCCATCAATGTTTCATTTCATTCATTTTTTGATGGCAGTGCGCCACACCAAAATTCATCCCACCATGGCTACATTACAGCTTCTCATTCAAAACATTCAGCCATTGTTGTTGTTTTTTGATAGTGGGTTATAATCGCACCAAAACTCATTAAAGCTAAGTGAATTATGCCGCTCTGTAGGTCTATAGTATGTCTTATAAATGTTGGAGAAATACTTGGTACATAAACGCACTAAATCGGGCTTCAGCAGCAGCTCTTGAGCAGCTTATATTTGAGGGGGCATGCAAGATTTTTTGTGCACGAGAAGAGGAAATCGGCGCGCGCATTAGGATACTCGTATTAGATAAATGCGATCTCAACTTGTAATACTGTTCTCAAGACATTTCTCCATTTGTCATTGAAATAAAGCCATAGGTAGTTGGTAGATTTGTGTAAAAGGCCTGCAGTCAGAGCTGGAAAAAATCCTAGGAAACACTGGTAAACACTGGAGTTCTGCTCTCTTCATTAGTTTCAAAAACACAGATTTCTTTACAATTCAAAACGGCATCATTGGATATCTTTTCTGCTGAAGAGACTGTTGTCCTAAAAAGCAAACAAAAAAATGTAAATAAAAAATCATACACATACCTTAGGAACGGTATTACAGAAAATTTAGGTGGTTTTAAAACCTTTGCTTTTCCAAACTGCGGTACACCTTGAAAATGGTTATCGTCAGGTTCCCCAGCTGTTTATCTTCTGAATTGTAAAACTGCTCTACAACTTAGTCATGGGCTGCGTCCGAAACCGCCTACTACTCAGTAGGTACTGTATTTGAATTTAAATGTAATACTTTGCCGTTAGAAAAGTACGTTCTATACAGTATGAATGTGAAAAGTATGAATGGAATTCGGACGTACTACATCCGCCATTTTGTCATGGTCACATGACCTACCTGCGTCAGTTGCGTCGCTTCACTTCCATTCATGAATTCTCTCGCGGGGCATTATGGGATAGCACAGCGTGCATAGGATGCGCACTCCAGAATCTCGCCGGAAGTAGTAAGTCATCCGGGTACTTCTCGCATTCTGATTTTCGAATTCTATGAATTCGGACATACTACTCGGCTTGCATACTGATTTTAGCCTACTATATAGTATGGAAGTATGCGGTTTCGGACGCAGCCCTGGACTATAATCTGTTACACTTTTGTACATATCTTGCAAGAAAATGTATTCTTTTGTTGTGGTCCTCTCCTAACATTCCCTCTGTCATTATGCGGATAAATCAGATTGCCATTTTCTTATCCTTGGAAAAACTGACTTATGACTTGCGTCAGAAATCTGATGATTTCTGGCGTATAGTGGAATCCTCTATGGGAGTTTTTGGAGAATGTATCTTGAAAGACTACTTTTTATTCAATTTTAATTTTAATTCATTTATTTTTTTGCTAATTTTACCCTTCACTAAAGACTTGAATTACCAGTCGATGGGCGATTGTATAATAGATGGCTATATTATTGTATATGATGACATGAAACACCTATACCACTGTTCTGTCATTGTAAATCTTTCAATCAAAAAAAAAAGAAAAAAAATGGTTATCGTCTCATGGGTTTAGGGTTGTTGTGTGGGTAGACGTTAATAAAATACAATAAATGCCAAAAGTTATAAATAATATAAATAATTTTGTTAACTTTCATCTGCAACCATATGCGATCTAGCAACAACCGCATGCAGTCTCAGCTTGCAAGCCCTTGATTATATTATTAACCGTGACATGTTATTATCATATAGTAACCCAAACCTCATCAGGCAACCAACCAGGAAAAACATGACAATAACTTTTAGAAATGCACCAATAACAACCACCTTCATATCGAAAAGTCTTTTTTAAGATAATTGACATGTTTATTAGAGTTATTTGTATTGTAACGTCTATGAAATCCAAATGTTTTGATTTATGTGATTTGAAAACATTAAGTGGGATTTTTAATGTCTGATGTTTTACTTTTTGTTCTTTTCCCATTTACAGATAAGCACACACCGCCCAGCTCATCAATAGAGGTGAGTCATTCTTTTCGCTTTGTTGAGGTGCCAGACTGGTTTTTGACTTTTGTGAAAAATGACTCATTCTGTTGCTATATTTGGCAATGGCAATCAGCTTGACAAGGCATCCTGAGGAAAAAACCCAGTTTTCTGCTGTTTGTTTGGCTTCTGAAGGTTTCGGCTGTGTGAATTAGGTGTGAGTGGTTTTTTGGGAGTCCCCGCATCTGTGGCAACCTCATTGTTTTGATGGTATTCATTAGCTGTTTCTTCTTTGTTGGCCTGACAGCAGTGTAGATCTCAAAGATTCAGTGTTTTTGGTCTCTATCGCTCCCTGCCACCCTGGGAAGTAGCCAAAGCTTTGCTGTAATCCATTCGGAAATAGTTTTCCCAAGCTTTTCACCACCAAGAGATCTCCTACCGTCTGACTTGGTCAGGACGAGACGCATTTACTGCCTATTCATTTTGTAAACAAAGAGAGTGCTGCACGTGTATATATATATATATATATATATATATATATATATATATATATATATATATATATATATATATATATATATATATATGATGCTAAAATGTTTTATCTGAAATCTCTTGGCTGAATGTGATAGATTTTAAAATGCCCTCAGCGGTAACAGATGGGTCCACAGAGGGGATGCACACATGCAAGCTCTCGCCCCCCCACACACACACACACACACACAAACAGAAAAACACATGCGGCTGTGCATGCTTGCATTCAAGCCTTCTCTGAAGCAGATTATCAAGCGAGCACTGGATGGTAGACTCGTGACTGTGAATGGGAGGATATTCAGAGAGCAAAACAGCAGGGCTCTGCCTCATCTGCACACAAACACTATCTTATTTCCGATAAGGGCGATGCATAGCACAGATAAGCCATTTTGTAAACATTTATGAGGAGTGTGACAGCTTTCAATTAATAAGAGATTATGTCTAAGTGATTTTGGCTATATTTGAAATTCACCCTCTCATTTTGTGTAAAGTTGCTACTTACTTTATGCATTAAGTTTTGTAAAATTGTTACTCTTTTCCATGCATTTAACATGAGGGACGGTTATGCTTTTCACAATAAAAAAGTTTTGTTGTGTGCGTGATGTATCCCCACAGAAATTTTTGTGATAAGGGACGTTAATGTCATTTTTAGAGCATTTTATAGTTTCAATATTTTAGAAATTTTTGCAGACATTCACTTATAAATATATATATTTTAAAAAAAAATACAAACATAAAACTTACATTTTAACAATTAGACAATTAAAAAAAACGAAAAAACAACAAACAGTCATAAAAATAATAATTAAAAAAATATTAAACAAACTTTCCCCAACCAACAACCAACCATGAAATGGTAAAAGTAGGTACTAAAGGCATTGTATACATATTAAGCACAAGTTTGTTAAAAGGAAATAAAAGGGGAACTGATTTTTACAAAGTTTTGTCTATTAGGGTATGCCTGATTTTGTTCCAGATGTAATGTACCATTAACTCTGTCAGCCATAAATTAAGAGTTGGGTCTTCTTTTTTTTTTTCAAAACAAAAGGATACGTTTTTTGGCAGAGATCAACCCACATGAAACGAACTGTTGTTGTACCAATGCAAGTCTCAAAAATTCTTTGGAAACTCCAAATATAATTAATTTAGGATCTGGTTCAAATAGAATGTCTTAATGTATCTGGAAAAACTTGGAATATTTTGTTCCAGAAACTCTGTAATTTGGGACACATAGGAATGGGACAGGTTGAAATCTAAAAAACTGACGTTTGTCACACAATGGTGACAATTCTGGAAATATTCAGTTCAATTTCCACTGAATAATGAAGCCTATAAAGCACTTTTAAACTGACTCTTTAAAAAAGACGATGCCTTGTGTTAATAGTACATCTGTGAATCTGTTCCAGACTTGACTTTAATCCAAAATTTCTCTTGGAATTTCTCTTTTTAGAGCATTTTTTGCCACTGAATAATTATGATGCAACAGTAAAATGATAGTATAATAGACATAAACACTTTTAAGGAACAAAAACATTTAAATTCTTAATGTTAATAAAATTCTGTTGTGTGGTGTTTAATAAGTATGTCCTAATATAAGCTTTGACATTGGTGATGTTGAGTCTAAATGTCCTTGTATTAGAGCTTTACCAGTATTTGTGAATATATTTTGTACTTTTATGGAGGTGAGCTGCAGCAGAGCTCGTTTGGACGATGACTTTCAAACCGTCAGCAGTTTTCATGAAAATCTGAACATTTATCTTTTCTGTAGTAAAGAAGTTCCCTGAACCCGCCGGCTTCTCAAGCAGATTAGATGAGATGCAGCTAAAATATTTCTGCCCATTACATATTTTGTGACCAAATATTATTCAGGTCATGGCATGTATTAAGCTACAAGTCAATTTATTTATTATTGCGACAGACCTTGTGTTTTAACATTTTAAAGGATGTAAATGCACCGTGAAAGTATCATAAATTGGTATTTACTGCATTACATGTTACCAGAAGACAGCATTGTGTTAAAAATCTTTTTACTACAATTAAAACTAAAATTGTTTATGTTCTGCAAAAAATAATGTAATTATATTTTGATGCAGACATTATTGAGGACTTCTTTTCTCCCCTGCAATATCCCTGATAAGATTCTGTTTGTAAATTCAAATATAATAAAATAAAATCATACAAGCAATACTGCTGTTTTCCTGACAATCAGAGCGTGAGCAAATGCCATCACAAAAATATGATATTAATTGACATTTATTTGTACACCATAGTAAAAAAACAACCAAAAACACCCATTTAAAATGGTTTCAAATTAGGCAGAACAGTTTTTGTTTCTCAGATCAACTCTGATGAATCTCTTTCTGATCAAATCATTTGAGTCAGTGATTCAGTTATTGATTCACAAATATCATTCAGATCAATTTAGAAAAAAACCTGTTACTTCTGTTTTGTATATATTTTTGGTGTAACCATCGTGTAAGCAGGCCTCAAAGAACGGTACAAGTTCATGACCCTTTAAAGTTCCAAAACAGCCACGTTCACATTCTTACAAATATCCCCCTTTTTGTTTCAGAGAAATAATCATAAATTGTTATTTGGTGTCTTATATGTTGTTTCTCAGATCAATTCTGCAAGAGTTTACCTCTTGAATGGATCTCTTTTTTTGAACTGATCATTTGAGTCAGCGATTCAATGATCCATTTACAAATATCGTTTTGATACATTCGGATGATGGGATTTGTATATATTTTTGTTGTAAACATCTTGTGAGCAGGCTAGGGTTGTAACGGTATTAATTTTTCACGGTATGATAATCGTCTAAAACAATACCACGGTTTGACGGTTTCGCGGTATACGGTATGTTACAAAATAATAGAACAGTGAAGCAAATTTGACTTTTTCCAAATAATATATTTTTAGTTACTATAAACAACACCACTTACAATGAACAAATAAAAATAAGAAAATAATAAATAATGTGTCAAAGTCCAAATAAAGTCCAAATAAACATGGTGCGAATCCTCAGTAAAAATAGATATAAATATTTACTATACTATAAATAGTTACATAACGAAACTAGATTCAATATGGAACATCCTTAGGTTTTATGTGCCAGCATGGATATGGTTGTCTATGGATTTGGATATGGTTGTCTGCAATGCAGACAAACAGCTGCACCTTCATTTGCGTCTTTTGAAAACAGCGAGAGCAGCAGTTCGTCTTTGCTGTGTCACTGTTTTGTCATGTTTCTGTGCTGCTGTGCATGCAAAAGTACTTAGTATGAGAATTATTTCATGCAAAACTTTTTTTTTGCGTTTTATTTAGCCGCGCATAAATGTATGCCTATCTCTCATTCCGTGTTGTTCAAAAAGCTCAGTGTTGGTCCACAAACAAAAGCGAAACCTATGCTTATTGGTTGTGATATAGCGAGTTTGAACCAATCTGGGCATGGAGGAGGGACAATGCATCAATGTATCATGTCTGGTTTGTCCGGAGACACAGTGACGAGCGTTTCTTTGTCAAATCAGCGTTGTCAAATGTTGATGACGTAACCGCACTGATTCCGGAGCCTCTGAAAGTCCGCGAATGTTATGTGATACAGCACTGGAAAGCTGAGATTCTCTTCTTTATGCCAATCTTTGAATTGTATGAATCGGATCAGCGGATCAAAAGTTATTAAACATTTAAGAGCAATACTTATTTTTAGCCGCGGGCGGCTGTCTCGGTCTTTAAGGGTTAAAACCGTTGATATGCAATTGTTCATGGTATGATAATCGTGCACGTTCAAATCGTGGTAAACCGTCATACCGGTATATTGTTACAACCCTAGAGCAGGCCTTAGAGAACAGTTCATGATTCTAAGTTCCAAAAGAGCGATATTCACATTCCTCCAAAAATCTCCTTTTGTGTTTCAAAAAATAAGAAAGAAAGTCATACAGGTTTGTAATGACATGACGAGTAAATGATGACACTGTTCCTTTGTACATAATGCTTTATGTGTACACTTTCATGTTAGATCAGTGCTTTGGGCGGAGGCGGCCTTCTCTATATAAAGAGTGTGTGTGTGTGTACTCTGCTACTGCACCTCTCTCTCTCTCTCTCTCTCTCTCTCTCTCTCTCTCTCTCAGTGATCATATGATGTTGCATGTTTAAGACCTCGCCCTCATGGCCAAGTTAAGCTGAAATATTGGTGAACTGCTGTTTGCTTGACTCGCCACATCCACAGCCCCATCTGGCTGTGTCTCAGACCAAGGCTACCCACCCAGCAGTCTGACCTAATAGCAGTTTTTCCATGCAGATGTCTTCTTAAAGATCTGGTTTCAAACAGGCCTCCTAAAGGCAGCATCATAATGTCTTGCCTAGTGATCGAGAACAAATACTTTAAGTTTTAGAACAAGCTTTAGAAAGCGAAAGCAAAAGTTGATTCTTGAACATTTTTTAGATTTAGAACCCGGGACGGACAGATTTTTTAATCTAATTAATTTTTTTATTTTTTAGCCCTAAAA